GAAACGCTATGCGTGTTAGTGGCTTTGTATGAATGTAAAAATACCAATCTTATGTAATCTCACCAACCCATTGTACCTTCTTGCAAATAAATTATAATTATTATTACTTTAGCTACTGCTTCTAGATACAAAATTATGGTAATTATTTCCACGTTGTCTTTCTACTTTTTTTTCCTAATATTTGAAGTGCAGCTTTTGAGTCTGTGTATATGATTGCATTTTGAGTATTTTGTGCAAATCACATATGCGAATGCCTGTTGTATAGCAAAACAGCTCAATTTGGGTTGATGATACTGATCCTCCCAGTCTCCAGTATGCCTGTTCTCTGCCCGTGCAAAGAGCAGCACCAACACTTATATTTCTGTGTCAACCTGCGTTTGTGTCTGTGAAGATGTGCGTGGCTCCTGCTCCTGCAATACTGCTCATTTGCTCTTCTATGATGCGCCTTAGGATTGTTGGATCATAGGCAGCCTTTTTCACCGGAAGAACTTCTATTACTATTTGGAAGGTAGGCTCCTACCACGGTGGGGAACAAGTGTAGTTTGGGTGTGGTCGATCACCTCTATCCAGAATCATGTTTTTTTAATTGTATTCTGTTTAGGACTTCTCCCGCTCTAGCAACCCAAGAGTTATCATTGTTTTGGCAAAGTCCAACCACCAAGGCCTGTCGTACTGTGACTGAATCAGGGGAAACAATTATCTTACTGATAATCGTAACTGTTTTGAGATATTCTTTCTTGAAGAGAGGACAAACTGGTTTTCATTCTTAGATTCCACATATGGGCTACCAGGGCAGCTCTCACAGCATTGTTTTGTGCTACTTCAAGCTTTTTCCACTGTTGTAATAAGGTTTGTGATTACAGGTGTTGCATAGTCGACCACTGATCTGACTGCCTGTGCAGAATATGTGCGAAGGACTTGCAGATTGACTCCTCCAGAGAGAGGTTAGCGACCTGAAGATTGCCGTCCGGGCCGCAGTGCTCTCTCGCAAATAAGTGACCTTGGCATTAAAATTTATGTGTGTGTCCAGGATTATTCTTAGATACTGATAAGTGTCCACCCATTCAATTGGTTGACCCTGAACTTTGAGATGGTTGTTGGGCTTCACTATTTTTATGGGCATGGCTTTTGTCTTGGTGTTGCTGAGTTTGATACCAGTCTGCTTTGCCTCTGCACTTATGCATTTAGATGCAAGGCGCCCTGCATCCCTTCTTTTTATGATGATGACAAAACCGTCCACATAGTTTAGCAGCCTGCAGTGTTGTGGGAGCTTCAGCCTCATTATTCTTTCCATTAAACAGTTGAAGAGAAGGGGGATGAGAATGCCTCCTTGGGGTGTACCATTTTCATGTCTTGTATTCAGAGACTGTGCCATGAAGTTTCATTCTTGCTTCTTTGTTTATGAGACAGTTTTTGGTTCAGGAGTGCAATTTGCCTTTAGCCTCTTTGTTGACGCAGCCCGTCCTCGCATACAAAGATCCAAGCTCGTTAATCCAGCTACCAAATCCCCTGTCTATGAATGAAAAGCGGTTTACACACGACTCACAACTGTTGACGTCCGAACACTTCCAGAACAAGTGCTTCGTTCACGTCCTCTATTCGAACTACAATTCTATAAATTCTTCCCCCACATACTTCAAATACAAATAATCACCAATAGAACCTAAACACCTAACCTATGCCTAACTATATATATCATTTGTATGTATAATAATATTAATTTACATATAGCAATAGACTATACACATAACTATAGACAATATTAATTTACTAGAGATAATATTAATAATTAATAACTATAGATAATATTAATTTACATATAGCAATAGACTATACACATAACTATAGACAATTTTGAACAGAGAAGAAGGATATTCAACAGTGCACGCAAATACATCAGGGTATTAAGAGGTAGATGGAACTAAAAAAACAATTTTTAATACCCAGTATGTTAAAATTGATGAATGGGTCTGGGAAAGACGGCCACTGCTACAGCCTAGTGTGAGGACGGCCGGGTTGATCGATGAGGCAGCAGAGAATAGATGGGGCGCTAGCCAGTTCAAAGGCTTTCTCGAGGTCCAGGAATTTTAGTCTGTTATTCAGGTGGGCTAACAGAGTTGTAATACATTCCACTGTGCCAACTCCTTTTCTATAAGCATACATATCCTAGTGCAGGGCATAATAGGAATTATGTCCTGGTGCAGTTTAGGCATTGTCCACTTAAGTCTGTTGAGTGCCATTCTGTCAGCCGTCTTGGCTGCACAGCTTTGGAGAGATGGGCCTTGGATTAGCTGGATCTTTGGGTTTTAGGATCGGTACTGTCTGCCCTATTCCAATCTGTGGATCTAGTTTGAGAAGTCCAGGCTAAATTAATTAACTTTAGGTATGCAGCGTCTCCCTCTGGGGCCGAGGTTTCTAATCATTTTATAGATTATTTTGTCGTCTCCAGGGGATGTATCTTTGGAGTTTTTTTTAGCCCGATATGCGCTCATCCAGTGTGAAAGAGGTATTAATGTCAGAGGCTTCTACACATGCTGTTAGGATTCTGTGGCATCTTTCCTCCTCTAATCCGGGAGGTTAGGTAAGCCTGAAGCAAATCCGATACACATAACTATAAACAATTTTGAACAGAGAAGAAGGATATTCAACAGTGCACGCAAACTATAAGATCTTGAAGGGTATAACCAAGGTTACATCTCTCCAGACAGCACAGTGACACAGGAAAAAAAAAGAACAACAGGGTATTAAGAGGTAAACTAAAGGAGTTAAGAAGCACAGACCGATTCAAAGATGCAAAGCTAAAGATCATGAGAGGGCAGGTAATCATAATAGTAGCTGGAGGAGAGGACATAGTCCTTCACTCAGCCAGGCAGAACTAACCCTATAAATCTTGGACGACAAACAGGCTCAGAACCAGAATGACAACGTACTGAATAATAATGTGAGAAATATAGAAGCAATCTCTCAGCCCCCCTTCCCTCCAGGAACAGTATAGTTTAATTTGTTTCTACACAAATGCCAGAACCCTAATAAAAAACATTGACGCCCTGTATGCATATAATGAGGCTGAATATCCCGGCATCTTCAGCATCAGTGAAACATGGGGACGAGAGGACATAATAGAAGGGGAATGTCATCTCCCAGGATACCATCCACCATTCAGTTAAGACGGAACAAGAGCAGGCGGGGGGTAATGCTTTATGTGAAAGTGGACCTGAATGCAACCACCTATGAGGAATTTAATGCACTGGATCTTCAGGTGCAAGATACTAGATGGTAGCAAATTGACAGCAAGAACATGCTACAGGGCCCACATGGCAGCATTAGAGGAAGATGCTGATTTGCATAATGTGATCAATGCGGCATCACAAACCCCAACTCTTATAATGGGATGACTTTAACCCAGAAACCATAGATTGCTTAAATCTAACATGACAAGCAGTAAAGCAATTTCTTGACCTGATACAGGACACCTTTCTCATACAGCATGAGAAAGGTATCATCATACACACAAGGTAAAAGCATTTTATATCTTGTGCTAACACCAGAAGAGGGCACAATTGATCAAACTGATCAATTGATCACTCGTGTGATCATCGTATTATGAGACGGATTATTTATTTATATATATAGTATACAAGGTACATTGGGCTGTGAGAGTATGTAACATTGGTGTCCTTACATTCTAGCGTTGCAGGTCCTTAATTTAACAAATTAAGAGTATTTAAATGCATTGTAGCAAAATTTTAGTTTAACTAGAATATATATTGATTATACTAGTAAAGTTACATGTCTTAAGTAATAGAATTGGGCAAGTGGGTAGCATAAGATACAGGAAACTACTGGAGAAGGTAAAAATCCACAATGAACATCATTGATTATGATATACAGTATATAAAAGGGCACTAAACTCAGTCGCCCAGGAAATCAGATCAGCCAAAAGAAACAAAAACAAAACTTGCCCAAATATAAAGAACGATCCCGAGTTATGCTATGATTATACAAGTGAAACTAAAACAAAGGACTCGGTAGGATTAAAAGACGAGACTAACCAAGTTATACTGGATAATAAAAGGGCAGCACACAGAATGAATACTTTACATCAGTGTTCACACTAGATAGCTTAGACGACATCCCATTGCTCACACAAATGTTTGAAGGTGAAGAGAATGAATTAAGGGATAAACCCATAACGTATGACAATCAGGAAGAGCATTGACAGTAAAACACTCAAAACCCCCAGGTGTGGATGGAATTCAATTGAAAGACGAAGGAACTAGCAGATGAACTATGCCTACCACTGAAACTGCTTTTCATAAAATTTCTGAAATGCAGTTTGATATTTTCTAAACCCCACAAGTCTGAGGAGAAAAGGTAAGGCAAGACGTTAACAAAAATAGGTAGACTTCACTACCCAGCCCCCCCCAACTCACCACAGAGCTCACATGGGAAGCACAAGCAACCTCAGGGGTAACTAGAACTTTACATGGGTCACCATTTTAGGGCTGAACAGTATTCCAGGGATCAACAGGGTTTACAAACCCTACAATGCCCATTTGACCTAGAACTTTATATGGGTCACTATTTTAGGGCTGAACAGTATTCCAGGGATCCATAGGTTTTACAAACCCTACAATGCCCATTTGACCCAATGTCTAACTAGAGTGGACTAACCAATTGATTCAGGTCTCCGTACATTGGTAATATATGGGGTCATACTTCACTTGGTAACTGCCACAGCAGGCAGGAGAGGGGAGCAGGAGCTACCCCCCTCCTACCCATGGGTAGTGCACAACAGCCCTCCTCATAATGTCACTGCACTGCCTACCAAGTGTGTACACAGCCCAAGAGGTCCTAATTCCACCTGGTAAAACAATTGTGTGTCATGGGAGATATAGTGAGGAAGAGAGCAGAGGGCAGCATCTAATGCCATCACAGACTAGTAACTTTGCTTCAATACTAAATAGGAAAACAGACAAATAGGTAATAAAAGGCATTAATAATTTCTCAAATGTATATTTCCCCATATAGGTTATACATTCCAATAAACAAAAGTAAACAAATTAACATAGTTATCAAATCAAAAACTCAACATGTCCAAGGGCAGTTAAACTCAGGAAGTGATTAAGTAATGACAGAGCAGCAATTAAAATTAATAGAAGGAATATTTACACAACTTTTGACCTACTATACTTCATAATATTTACTAATGCTTCTTTCTATATATATATATATTTATACCAAGAAGACTATTGAAATAAAAAATTTAGTTGAGCCTCCTTACTTTCAAATTAAAAACTACTGTTCTGTGAAGCTGCATTAAGAGTTCCATTAAATTGTACTTATCAACAGTTGTTTTTGAATTTTATCTAATTTTTAAAGACATTGATATGATTTGGTACTCATTTTAAAAATCTGACCACAATAATTAGATAAAATGAAAGCGAATCAATTTTAAACATCTTTTAACTATCTAATCACATCGATGAACCATTAAACCAGTTTTCATTGAAGGTGTCATTTTTACAAAATTAGTAACAATTTATTAAACAAGAAAAGTTTCATGGTTGGTGTCAAAGCCTTGGTTTAACTGCTGCGCCACCCTAATCTTGACACACTGCAATAGCTTCATCCCGTTCTTCACACAATTCCTTGGCAGTCTTGTCCATCTTCTCCCGTGCAAAGTCTTCAATTGGCAATCCCTGAAATAATGAACAAATAATAAATGGGTGTAATAAGACAAGTCTGACCCTATTAACATTAATACTCTAGCCCATTGGCCCGTATCCTATTGTAAATTTTCCAGGCATCTCAAAATCCCAGCCAATAACACCTGAAATGCTTACTCATTTTTTTATGTTTTCTTGGTTAAATTTAGTTATACTGTATCTAAATTGTGTCAATTGTTCACAAGTAAGTAATTATCAATAGAAGGCACCAAACCGGGAAGGCTATGTAGCGCCATCAAATGTGCGGGATAATCAGAGGGCGCTAAATATCACCAAGGATGCCAATACGAGAACAAACGCATAAGGCGAACGATATCAAAAGTATAAGTCGCCTAGAATTCCATCGAGGAACAAGCAACCGCGGGATATGGTCAGAAAACAAGACACGCTCGTCCTGGAAGTCAGGACATTCAACAAGGATATGCACGACCGTAAGAGGGACAATGCAATGTGGACAATAAGGAGCAGGACGGCGCTTCATTAAGTGACCGTGAGTTTAACGGGCATGGCCAATACGTAACCTAGCCAGAGCTGTTTCCCATCACCAGTTACGGTGGCAGGAGGAAGGCCACTGGGACACACGACTCCTAAGAGTACGCAATTTGTTACCAATAACAGAAGACCAACAGCTCTGCCAGCGGACAAGGATGGAGGCATGAATAACTGGGTAAAAGTCGAAATAAGGAATACTTTCACGAGAGATGGGACAAGCACGGATAGCTTCCTTAGCGGCAGCATCCGCACGCTCATTTAAAGAGACACCAACATGGCTGGGAACCCAGCAAAATGCAACTGACTTAAATTTACTGGAGATAAGAAACAGCCAATGTTGAATCTCGACAACCACCGGGTGGACCGGATTAAAGAACCCTAATGCCATGAGGGCACTACAAGAGTCAACTACAACCACAAAGGAGGATTGACACCGGGAAAGCAGGAGACGAAGAGCATAGAGAATAGCAAAGTTCTGCTGTGAAGATGCTAGCCTCCAGGGGAAGGCGACACATATAAGTGTGGTCAGGAAAAACAACAATAGCCCACACCGTCAGCAGACTTAGACCCATTGGTGAAGATGGGAACAGAGTGGGAGTGAGAAGAAAAGTGCTCAAGGAAGAGGCGTTTCAGAACTGTAGGAGGGGTAAAAGCTTTAGTGATGCGGGTCAGAGAAGTACAAAATTTGGGAAAGGAGATACAGATACAAGGGGATACTAGAAACATTGGTAATATGAGCTGAAAGAGAATCCTGTAAGCGAGAACGGACAGAAAGAGGAAGGAGGTGAAGAGGAACAGGAACTACAGGAGGGGTAAAAGTCAAAGCACAATAGAGGCGAGAGTGAGGATGCTGTAAGGATCGTGCAAGATAGCAAAGACCGTAGCGATCACGGCGATCCTGGAGAGAGAGAGAGCCAGCGTCAGCATACAAGCTGAGGGTAGGAGTTGAACGAAAAGCACCAGAGCTGAGGCGCAACCCAGTATGGTGCAAAGGATCAAGACGGCGAAGAGTAGAAGGAGAAGCAGAAGAGTAGGCAGGGCAACCATAATCGAGTTTAGACAGGACGAGAGAGGAATGCAAATAGAGGAGCGTGCACCTATCCGCTCCCCAAGAAGTATGGGACAAAACCTTAAGTAGGTTAAGGGCCTTAGAGCATTCAACACGGAGGTAAGAGACATGGGGCGACCAAGACAAACGAGTGTCAAAGAATAACCCCAAAAGCTTCGCGGAATCTTTGTACTCAAGGGGATGACCATAAAGTGACAAAGAGGGACGAAGAACGACCCTCTTCCGAGTAAAAGTCATGGCACAAGTCTTAGTACTAGAGAACTTGAAGCCATGATTGGTGGGCCAAGAGGACACGGCATCAATCGCAAGTTGAAGCCGCCGTTGAAGGAGAGGCGAATCATCACCTCGATAGCAAAGAGTAAGATCGTCAACATAAAGAGCAGAGAAGATGCCAGAAGGAAGGGAGGAAAGAAGAACATTGAGGGCAACCAGAAAAATAGTAGTACTCAGAACACTACCTTGGGGCACACCTTCATACTGCTGAAAAGAGGCAGAGTGGGGGCCACCAAGCCTGACCCAAAAGGTACAACGAGAGAGAAAGCTTTGAAGGAAGAGAGGGAGATTACCACGAAGGCCAAAAGAACGAAGTTGGGACAGAATGTGGTATCTCCAAGTCGTGTCATAAGCCTTTTCCAGGTCAAAAAGGACAGCAACAACGGAGGTCTTCGCAGCAAAAGCAATACGAATATAGACCTCTAAGTTCACCAGGACAACAGTCGTGCTGCGGCACTTGCGAAAACCAAATTGAGAAGGAGAGAGGTGGCGATGGTGTTCCAAGAACCACATCACACGGACATTTACCATACCCTCAAAAAGAACTTACAAACAACTCGTGAGAGCAATAGGGCGGAAGTCCTTAGGGACGTACCGAGAGACCCTGGTTTCCAAATAGGGAGTACAATGGCATCGAGCCAGTCCTCAGGGACGGACGACGACTCCCAGACTTGGTTATACACCCACTAAAAACTGAGACGTGCACGGAGGGAGATGGCGAAGCATCTCATAATGAACGTCATCCGAGCCCGCCGCTGTAGATCCGCAGAGGGCCAGGGCAGACTGAAGTTCAGAAAGAAAGGAGCGTTATAGGGAAGGTGGAGATGAGTGCGGAAATCTAAAGGATAAGATTCAAGGATTACGAAGGAAGGAAGGATGGAGGGAGATGAGAACCAGAGCTAACAGAAGAAAAGTGGGAACCCAGTTCGGTCGCGACCTGCACTGGATCCGTCACAAGAGTACCACGGAGGTGGAGAACCAGCGAGACATCCGGAACGAACTTGCCCGCAATCTTGCGGATCTTCTTCCAGATCTGCGGCAGAGGAGTATCGGACATAATGGTGGAAACACAAGATATCCAACTCTCACGTTTAGCTGTACGGATGGTCCTACGGGCCACCACACTTGCCTTCCGAAACAGAATAAAAGAATCAGCCGTCTGCCGGCAGCGGTGTTTCTTCCAAGCCGCACGCTTACAGCGGACAGCCTCAGCACAGTCTGCATTCCACCAGGAAACGTACTTCCGTGTGCCCCCGGGAGGAAGAGCGAGGAATAGAGTGGAGGGCAGCATTAAAGACAGTGTCATAAAAAAGAAGGAGGGCACGAGGAAGAGGCAGAGAGGAGAGGTCAGAAAGAGTAGCCCGGAGGGTGAATATGCACCAGTCAGCCTTGGCAAACTGCCACCTAGGGAAGGAGAGGGGAGGGTGAAAAGAGAAAAAGGAAACGAGGACAGGGAAATGATCTCTGTTATGGAGGTCATCAAGAACCCGCCACGTGAAATCTAAGTAAAGGGACGACGAGCATAGAGAAAGATCAAGACAGGAAAGGGTGCGAGTTCGAGAGTCCACATGAGTGGGCTCACCAGAATTCAGAAGAGATAGAGAAGAAGCGAGGATGAACGGTTCAAGAAGGCGGACTCGGGTGTTTGTCAGAACATCACTCCAAAGGGCATGTCGACAGTTGAAATCACCCAAAAGGAGCACCGGCTCTGGCAAGGAGTCCAGGGGGTGCTTAAGATCAGGAAGGGAAAGCAGGACATTTGGGGGGGGAGATAAATGTAACAGACTGTATACCATTTACTCACAAAAACACGGGCAGCAGAACAATGGATAGGTGACGGAAGAAGTAGGGTGACGAAAGGAATATCAGATCGAATTAAGAGAGCAATAGAGTTACGGGGGGAAGGGCCGGGGGGGGGGGGGGGGGGAAGAAAGGAATAACCACGAAAGCGACCAGGACAAGCACCAAGCATCGGTTCCTGGAGACAAACACAAAGTGGTGAAAACTGTGTTATCAGAAGTTGGCATAAAATCCACGAATATTCCATTAACAAATAGACATTATCAAAAAGAGAAAGGACATCTATCTGGACCTAAAAAAGGCTTTCGACAGAGTTCCACATAAAAGGTAGTTCTGGAAACTGCAACACATTGGAACACAGCATCTACCAGATGGAATACAGAATTATATGAACATGTTTGCTGATGATGCTAAGATAATAGGAAGCATAAGAAACTTAGATGATTGTCATGCCCTTCAAGAAGACCTGGACAAAGTAAGTATATGGAGCACTACTTGGTAAATGGAATTTAATGTAAATAAATGCCATGTTATGGAATGTGGAATAGGAGATCATAGACCCCACACAACCTATAAATTATGTGAGAAATCTTTAAAAAATTCTGAGAGATTTAGGGGCGGTTCTAGATAGAAAACTATCACCTGAGGATCACAAAGAACATTGTACAAGGTACCTATGCTACACTTTCTAACTTCAAAATTGCTTTTAAATACTGTATATGGATGGTGAAATACTAAAGAAATTGTTCACGACTTTTGTTAGACCCAAGCTGGAATATGCAGCGGTTGTATGGTGCCCATATCTTAATCAACAAACTGGGAAAGGTGCAAAGACATGCCACTCAATGGCTCCCAGAACTGAAGGACAAGAACTACGAAGAGAGGTTAGAGGCATTAAATATGCCAAAACTAGAAGAGAGGTGATAAGATCATTACATACAAAATAATAACAGGAATTCATAAAATTGATAGGGAAGATTTCTCGTAACCTGGAACTTTAAGAACAAGAGGTCGTAGATTTAAATTAACTAACCAAAAATGCCAAAGAAATGTAAGAAAATTTAATTTCGCAGAGTGGTAGACAGTTGGAACAAGTTAGGTGAGAAGGTGGAGGAGGCCAAAACCGTCAGTAGTTTCAAAGCGTTATATGACAGTGCTGGGAAGACGGCACACCACGAGTGTAGCTCTCATCCTGTAACTACACTTAGGTAATTACACACACACATATACTGGACTCTAGTTCAGAAAGGATGAAGAGATTGTTGTAGAGGAGCTGAAACCGAGTGTGAAAGTCCAAGAGGGCAAGATTCAATACAGGGCTTAGGTGATGAACATAGAAGAAAAAAGAACTGGTGCTTACATACATCTACCAACGAGGAATTACAGTACATTTACTAACCTGAACTATGCTCCATTTTTTATCCTTAATTGTTACAGGGAAGGAGTACATAACTCCCTCAGGAGTGTTGTAGGACCCATCAGAGAAGACTCCCATGGACACAAAATGTCCCTCTTTGGTTCCCTGAAAAATGCTCTTCACATGGTCGCAGGCAGCTTTTGCAGCAGACATGGCAGACGACAACTTGCGAGCAGCAATAACGGCACCACCACGTTTCTGAACCAACTGCAATTTATAAACAAGTGTTAGTGATAGTTTTACCTAAATTAATGTTTTTCTTGGTCATTTGCAATCAATGAATTTCCTTTAGATTGTGATACATGTAGACCATTTTTGAACATGTCACACCTTATAGTTTTGAGACCCAGATAATTTAAATACTGTAGTATCACTTTTAAATCAACTTTAAACAATTTGTTTTACAGCTACAAAAATGACAAGCTGCACCACAGGCAAGGAATGCTTTATTAATGGTTATTGAACTCAGCCAAGGCTTTCATATATTATGACAGTACAATAAGGGTATATTTAAACAGTACACTTTCCAAAAGTATACAAACTAATTTACACTTTTTTTTTTAAATTAAATTTCATCAGACAACAATTTAATAAAGTTATCTAATGACAGTATGACTTATTTAACTCTTAGTCAATAGAACCTTGCCAGATCACTAATGTCTTCCAAGGCAATGGACCTTAATCTGTAGTTACTTCACCTTGCCTTACACCAAATACCCTTAGCACTCAATCATCTTCACTGTCTCCACCTAAATGCTCCAATTTACCTATATACAAATTTCGTACATTGAACGCCCTCAAACTATTCCACCATGCCAAATACACTTTCTCTTCAGCGAAGAATATCGCTACCGTGGATTACACATACAGTACATTATTAGATACACCTTTACAATACTACAATTCTAAATTCCGGCCATTTCCTCCTCCATTATATTATCACTACTGGGACCCTCTTTTACAGGGTCCCGGTAGTATAGTCGAGTTCGCTCTCGACGCACAATCGAGAATTCCGAATTCAAATCCCGGGCGGGACAGAAATAGTTGGTCACATTTCCTTTCACCTAATGCCTCTTTTCACCTAGCAGTGAGTAGGTACTCAGGAGTTAGTCAGCTTCTTGTGGGGTTGTATTCTGAACGGTGTCAGTAATTCGGCTTTGGGGAGGGAGAAGTGGGGGTTGTTCTGGGGGTTCCTCAATAAAAGCCAAAATGTGTATGAACACACACACACTGGCTTCCTGTCCCCCAACAATGAATTATTAATAATTATATATATTTATAACATGGCATATAGCCAGAAAACACAAAAATGGCAATTACAAATAACAAAACTGATAGTACAGTTCATACTACTAATGTAAGGAATTAGGCCTTTTGCTACTTATTGGAATCTATTAAGTTGGTCATTGCTACTAATTAGCTAGAACACTATCTGCCAATCTTTTTTAATTTTATTTACTGACTTTACTAATTTATTTACAGGTTTAAAAAGTAAAGGAACTATGCCTAATGTCCTATCTTGACCAGAATTTAAACCTAGGACACAGTACATCTGGTATTATGCATGCTTGTTTCAACAAACAAAAAATATGATTCTGAAAACTTTACCAGTGGCACTACCTAACTTTCTAATGAAACTTCATTTTATGGGGCAGTCAGAAGACTTAAAAATTGCTAAGACACTTTAGATAACTTAAAATCAACAACATTGGCAGATGCAATTTCATGCTGAAAAACCTAGGGCTCAGAGCCTAAGTAATAATGATTATCAGATATTAGCTGGACAATGTTTAAATTACCACATTAATGTACAAATCTGCGAGTCATAATTAGTAGGGTGGGAAGGGAATTATGTGGAGAAAGTGCCAAGCCATTACAACTATACAGTACTGTATAGCCAAAATATATTACGACTTAAGCCAAAAATTAAATGTACAGTATAAATATATTGAATAAGGCAAACAATACTGGGATTCATACTTGGAAGCATTAGTCCAGATATCTCTAGTTTTATCTTGCCCTTGTTAGGCCCCATTTAAGATTATACAACGAACACATTTCTACATATAAATTCAGAAAACGTGTGTAAAGACTGGTTAAGTTTTAGAGGATTATAATTTATACAACAAATTAACATGTAAAACAATAGGTGGGGGATTGTGGACCATTTCAAGAGTAGATATATACTGTATATACATAAATGAGATTGGTTTGTTATAAATAGAAGCCACTTCACATAGGCCAGTAAGTCTTCTGTAGTAATATTTTTTTTTTTTTAAGTTTAAAAGAAGCCTGAAGAGGCACAAGTTAGTGCCTAAATACAGACTAAAGAGGCAAACAAATTTCCCTGCTGGTAATATGTAAGTGATGTACTATACTATAACTTAAATGTACCAGTTCTCCAAAATCAGACATCTTGTAATCAAGTCCATGCTGTCACAAAACAAGGAGGAGGTTACTCACTGTAATAAATTCATTTTTCAAAAAAGCATCGTCCTTGATTGCATCATACACAGGGATCTCTTCACCATTCACAGTGGCAGTTGCATGACGAACATCTGGGAACTGGGTAGAGGAGTGATTACCCCAGATGATGACGTTCTTTACATCCGTTACTGGAATGCCAAGCTTGGCAGCAATCTGAGCCTGTTGAGGAAATGGGACAAAAATTATAAATCAACCTGCAAAACTGATTATACAGGGTTAACCCTTAAACTGCTCTGGGCTATATGGCCTTCAACACCCACAGGCGCAAAAAAAGAAAAAAAAAAAGAAAAAAATATTCCATCTTGTAAGTGTATATTTATGTTCCCTGATCACAAGAAAGAGAGAAAAAAAAAAAAAAAAAAAAAAAAAAAAAAAAAAAAAAAAATCGGTGACATTTTGGCTGTAATAGGTCGAGGAAGTCTGGAAAATGTGAGGGGATGCCACAAAGATATTACCTAATTATTTCAATGTTTGATTTTTTTTTTTTTTTGCAGTATTAATCAATAATGTGTAGTGATTATATATATATATATATATATATATATATATATATATATATATATATATATATATATATATATATATATATATATATATATATAGATATATATATATATATATATATATATATATATATATATATATATATATATATATATATATAATATATATATAATATATATATATATATAATATATATATATGCGAACAAGCCTGAATGGTCCCCAGGACAATATGCAACTGAAAACTCACACCCCAGAAGTGACTCGAACCCATACTCCCAGAAGCAACGCAACTGGTATGTACAAGACGCCTTAATCCACTTGACCATCACGACCGGACATAATGAGGTGATAGCCGAGGCTATTTGAACCACCCCACCGCCGGCACTCGGATAGTAATCTTGGGCATAGCATTTTACCAAATCACCTCATTCTTTGGGGCACACGTGAGGAACACAAATGTGAACAAGCCTGAATGGTCCCCAGGACAATATGCAACTGAAAACTCACACCCAGAAGTGACTCGAACCCATACTCCCAGAAGCAACGCAACTGGTATGTACAAGACGCCTTAATCCACTTGACCATCACGACCGGACATAATGAGGTATCCGAGTGCCGGCGGTGGGGTGGTTCAAATAGCCTCGGCTATCACCTCATTATGTCCGGTCGTGATGGTCAAGTGGATTAAGGCGTCTTGTACATACCAGTTGCGTTGCTTCTGGGAGTATGGGTTCGAGTCACTTCTGGGGTGTGAGTTTTCAGTTGCATATTGTCCTGGGGACCATTCAGGCTTGTTCGCATTTGTGTTCCTCACGTGTGCCCCAAAGAATGAGGTGATTTGGTAAAATGCTATGCCCAAGATTACTATCCGAGTGCCGGCGGTGGGGTGGTTCAAATAGCCTCGGCTATCACCTCATTATGTCCGGTCGTGATGGTCAAGTGGATTAAGGCGTCTTGTACATACCAGTTGCGTTGCTTCTGGGAGTATGGGTTCGAGTCACTTCTGGGGGTGTGAGTTTTCAGTTGCATATTGTCCTGGGGACCATTCAGGCTTGTTCGCATTTGTGTTCCTCACGTGTGCCCCAAAGAATGAGGTGATTTGGTAAAATGCTATGCCCAAGATTACTATCCGAGTGCCGGCGGTGGGGTGGTTCAAATAGCCTCGGCTATCACCTCATTATGTCCGGTCGTGATGGTCAAGTGGATTAAGGCGTCTTGTACATACCAGTTGCGTTGCTTCTGGGAGTATGGGTTCGAGTCACTTCTGGGGTGTGAGTTTTCAGTTGCATATTGTCCTGGGGACCATTCAGGCTTGTTCGCATTTGTGTTCCTCACGTGTGCCCCAAAGAATGAGGTGATTTGGTAAAATGCTATGCCCAAGATTACTATCCGAGTGCCGGCGGTGGGGTGGTTCAAATAGCCTCGGCTATCACCTCATTATGTCCGGTCGTGATGGTCAAGTGGATTAAGGCGTCTTGTACATACCAGTTGCGTTGCTTCTGGGAGTATGGGTTCGAGTCACTTCTGGGGTGTGAGTTTTCAGTTATATATATATATATATATATATATATATATATATATATATATATATATATATATATATATATATATATATATATATATATATATATATATATATATATATATATATATATATATATATATATATATATATATATGTCGTACCTAATAGCCAGAACGCACTTCTCAGCCTACTATTCAAGGCCCGATTTGCCTAATAAGCCAAGTTTTCATGAATTAGTGTTTTTTTGTCTACCTAACCTACCTAACCTAACCTAACCTAGCTTTTTTGGCTACCTAACCTAACCTTACCTATAAATATAGGTTAGGTTAGGTTAGGTAGGGTTGGTTAGGTTCGGTCATATATCTTCGTTAATTTTAACTCCAATAAAAAAAAAATTGACCTCATACATAGAGAAAAGGGTTGCTTTATCATTTCATAAGAAAAAAATTATAGTAAATATATTAATTCAGGAAAACTTGGCTTATTAGGCAAATCGGGCCTTGAATAGTAGGCTGAGAAGTGAGTTCTGGCTACTAGGTACGACATATATATATATATATATATATATATATAATAGATATATAATAGATATATAATAGATATATATATATATATATATATATATAATAGATATATATATAATAGATATATATATAATAGATATATATATAATAGATATATATATATATAGATATATATATATAGATATATAATAGATATATAATAGATATATAATAGATATATGATAGATATATATATATATATATATATATATATATATATATATATAATGTCGTACCTAGTAGCCAGAACGCACTTCTCACCCTACTATGCAAGGCCCAATTTGCCTATTAAGCCAAGTTTTCATGAATTAATGTTTTTTCGACTACCTAACCTAACCTAACTTTTTCGGCTACCTAACAGAACCTAACCTAACCTATAAAGATAGGTTAGGTTAGGTAGGGTTGGTTAGGTTCGGTCATATATCTACGTTAATTTTAACTCCAATAAAAAAAATTGACCTCATACATAATGAAATGGGTAGCTTTATCATTTCATAAGAAAAAATTTGAGAAAATATATTAATTCAGGAAAACTTGGCTTATTAGGCAAATCGGGCCCTGAATTGTAGGCTGAGAAGTGCGTTCTGGCTACTAGGTACGACATATACATATTTATACATTATATATATATATATATATATATATATATATATATATATATATATATATATATATATATATATATATATATATATATATATATATATATATATATATATATATATTATATATACACATACATATAGATATACAGTATATAAAATATTTATAACTCGGGAATTATCATATAAAACTTATTTCCACAGGTTTGTTATCACACTTTAAACAATATTTTTCTGTATATAGCTTAAAAGCTATCTTACCTACTCAGAACAAAATCCAACATCTAAGTACTAGAACATAAAACAACAAGACTTATTTTAGACCTGACCAGTCATCATGGCCCATAACTCAGTAGAGTTGCTCCTGGCCTGCCTCCTCCCAGACACATACTCAACTCGCTCACAGAGTTACCAAAAGCGTCTCACAAAACTCTTAACTAACACACTTGCACACTGAGATAATCACTCGCAAACACATTTACACAAAAGTATACAAGATTCTACACACACTGGAATAATAACTCAAACATTTTAGAAGGAAAACAATAATTATGAATTATGAAAGACTGGTAACAAACGTCCCATTCTCAACTCCCACAATTACACACGCCCTGGACCCATTCACCCAACAGGCAAGCACAATCACCTTCCATACAAGAGCACCATATACAATACTGACACACTATCATTGTATGAATATGCATAAACATAATACTCCAATCTCTCTCCACATGGCAAACCGAGGTGGGATAAATAATATATTCTGCCTACATTGTCATTAGTGAGAATCGGGTAATTACCTGGTTTGTAAGACCCCTTCCAAGATGTTATGTGTGGTTCAGTACCTACAAGTTGGATATTTATTTGCACTTAGGTGTACTCTTATTGATACAGTATAAATGCCTGTACTATACTGTACCCGTCTTTAGCTAAAATATAAATTGACATTAATTAGTATGGGTCTGTTAAATTGGAGGGAAGAGGGGTACCCCTGTAATTCACCCTTCCAAAATTTGTATAACTTTCAGCTGCATGAGTTGTTCATGGATGGTTTAGAGTACCATGTAAGATTTAAAAGTCCTGCGCATACACGGTGCTCACATTTACTTACTCAGGCTTCCAGTAAACAGATGCCATCTTAGAAAAATATTATAGGCACCCCCTCCTGGGTGTAAGGGCCTTATTATGGAGAGGGGGTGACCATAGGTAGTGCATGCTGCAGAAGCTCTCAGCACTATCGCATATCTTAAACCCAAAGCATCACTTAATATGGACATAGTAGGGGAAGGGAACTATCAGGAGAAAGCACCAAGCCATTATGACTTTATAGCACTTGGAAGGGATCAAGATAAAGATTTGGAATGGGACGGGGGAGAAGGAGTCATGCCGACCTGCATGAAGCAAGACCGTTGCTCTACCAAAGTAGAGCGACAGTCTCTCTCTACTTCGACGAAGTAACCATGTTGATAGGGTCATAGAAGATCCTGATTGTAATAGAGACTATGCACAAGGTTCGGTTATGGGCGCCTGACAGCTGGGTAGACAGTGCTTCGGATTCGTAGTCCTGAGGTTCCGGGTTTGATCCCCAGTGGAGGAGGAGACAAATGGGCAAAATGTTTTTTTCACCCTGATGCCCTGTTACCTAGCAGTAAATAGGTAACTGGGGAGTTAGACAGCTGCTACAGGCTGCTTCCTGGGGGTGTGTAACAAAAAGAAGGCCTGGTTGAGGACCGGGCCGCGGGAATGCTAAGCCCCGAAATCCTCTCAAGATAGATCGGTGAACACAATGCTGATTAAGATGATTTCATGTATCTAAGCATCAAACATGACCTCATGTTCCTTTAGAAAATAGTTATGGAAAGTTATTCATATTCATGATTTAGTGACAAATCTGATTAATTGCAGTGTTGCATAGTAATAATAGCATTGTGCATAGCATGTTGGAGATATTTTGCTGCGTCAGGTGCTGTTGCATGCTGGCGTTGTCTGCTGATAAATTTTGTCCCTATGTTTTGCTTCTATTTCATTCCACACCACAGAACTGCTTAGTGGTTCTGTTATGGTCCATAAAAATAGTTTTAAAACAAAAATGAAAATTATATATATTCAAGCTGGTTTGGTGCTCTTAAAATTTCTTCTAACACAGAACAAATTCAAATTGATCTCTCTATGGACTTGTAGCTATGTACTGCAATCTGAATTGTTTCAAGTTATAAACTAGTGACTGAGAACTTTGAATAAATCCACAAGGGGCGTGATGAGAGTTCGAACGTACGTCCAGGATGATCCCAGACGCTGCCTTAATCTACTACGCCACCACATGGTATAAGAATTGCAACCAGGATTGCTACTACTCTCACACGGATCATGTAGTCTCTCCGAGACAAACCGGGGCTTTACACAATTCCCCCATGCACTCGGGCTCTGTTAACAAGCTGTTCTACCTCTTCGCCCTTATTTCAATACACACACAAATCACAATAGCGTGATATATCAAATGAATAAATCCACAAGGGCCGTGATTTATTCATTTGATATACCATACTATTTTGATTTTTGTGTGCTAGAACTTTGAACAGTTTGCTAATTTCATACACACATGTACTACTAATTACACCTTTACCACTGTGGTATAATTTTTTATTAAAGCCTCCACACTGTACACTCAATACACCATTTTCTCCATTTCAATTATCCAAGACAATAATTGACTTCACTCCGTTTTATTGTCAAAAGGAGATGGAGCCAATATTTACAACACTGAGAACATGCAAGCTGTAGTACTCTAAGAGTGGAGATTATGTTGAGAGGAAATTATTTGTATCCCTTTAACACCACTATCAGTGTGCCTTTCTTAAGAGAAGATTTTTGCACTAAGACCTTTTTTAACACTTTGTATTGTCTAAATGTCTATTTGTAACCTCTTTACTGCTACTTATGTTTATGTATTAGTCATAAAAGTACATGTGTACGTTTAGTATCATACTGCATGTGTAAAGGAAGAAACGTGAATGTTTATCAACCAGAATGTTCGATAATATGTTGATTGTGATATTTGTGCATGCATGCATACACATACTGTACATACATACATATATATGAACACATTTGAACAGTGAGAATACAGTACTTGCATACCTTTGTGTATTTATACCCCAATAAACTTATTTCAATTTCACCTGTGTACCACCTAGCCTAAGCTTAGTTCTTATCAAGACAAGTCACCTCTACCTGTGTGCCCCCTTACCTGAGCATAGTTCTGATACCTGCTTGATGGAGTTCCGTTTGTTGTTCTACTCCCCAAGCCCAGCCCGAGGCCAGGCTTGACTTGTGAGAGCTTGGTCCACCAGGCTGTTGCTTAGAGCGGCCTGCAGGCCCACATATTCACCACAGCCCAGTTGGTCCGGCACTCCTTTAAGAAAACTATCTAGTTTTCTCTTGAAGATGTCGATGGTTATTCCCGCAATATTTCTTATACCCGCTGGGAGGATGTTAAACAACCGTGGACCTCTGATGTTTATACAGTGGTACCTCGTATTACGAGCGTCCCTATTTATGAGTTTTTCGGATTACGAGCAGGATTTGCTCGGAAAATTTACATTGGAATATGAACGTTGCCTCGGAACACGAGGGTGTCGATACGCGTACAGGCCGACGTAGCGCATGGTGGCACGGCGATCGCCCCTCAGTTTACCAGTGCCTCGCGCCCAGTGACTATCCCACCTGAATTCTTCACCAGGATTTAGTGTTTTGTTGGATTTTTGGCTATTTGACCATAAAAGTTGTTATTATATATCTCGCCATGGATCCCAAGAAAGACAGTGGTAAGGTTCAAACTAAGAAAATAGTTGTGAGTAGAGGCAGTAGAGGATGTCCCTTTCTCATTAAGAAAATGTGTGAAGTATGAGAACTACAAAGTTTTGTTGAAAAAACTGACCCAGATAGTTGTAGCAGGCCGTTGCATTGACCTTTTAAATAACAATGTGATGTCTTACTACAGACAAGTTTTAAAATGTAGGGAAAAACAAGTGTCTTTAGACAGATTCTTAGCAAGACAAACAAGCAGTGAGCCACAAGCAGGTCCTAGTGGTATGCAGGCAAATCGTGCCAGAGTGCACACCAGAGATATCCTTACTGCCTGATGTTATAATGGAAGGGGACTCCCCTTCCGAACAGTAACACCTCTCCTCCTCCCCCCTCCTCACCATCTTCCATATGCCAACAGGAATCATCAGCAAGGGTGAGTAATAACTTTAACATACTTTTGTAGTGTAGATTTAGATGAATTTGGTATAAAATTTAGTTTGAAGTGAGGTTCTTGGGTAGTCAGAACAGATTATTTATTTCCCATTATTTCTTATGGGGAGATTAGCTTCGGTTTACGAGCCGTCCCCAGGAACAGATTAAACTCTTAAACCGAGGTACCCATATATAGTGTTCTCTGATTGTGCCTATGGCACCCCTGCTCTTCACTGGTTTTATTTTGCATTTTCGTCCATATCGTTCACTCCAGTATGTTATTTTGCTGTGTAGATTTGGTACCTGGCTCTCCAGTATTTTACACATGTATTATATTTTCTCTCTCGTCTCCTTTCTAGTGAGTACATTTGGAATGCTTTGAGACGATTCCAATAATTTAGGTGCTTTATCGCATCTATGTATGCCATATATGTTCTCTGTACTCCTATTTCAGAAACCTCTCCTCCTCTGATTAAGACAAATCACCACTACCCATGTGCCACCTTACCTGAGCATGGTTCTGATCAAGATGCTCACCACTACCCATGTGCCACCTTACCTGAGCACGGTTCTGATCAAGACGAGTCATGGCAGAGAAGTTCTCACGTGGGATGGATGGCGCATACTTTGCACAGATTAAGGCATTGGTGTTTGCAGGATTGCCTACCACAAGGACTTTCACTGATTTCTTAGCATACTGGTCCAATGCCTGACCCTGCAAAAGTTAAATGTACATAATATTAAACAATGTACATTTAAACAAAAAATAAGCATTTTTTAGTTATTACTGCAATCAATATGCATAAGTTTAATAAATAAGAATTCTTGAAACTATGATTACCAGATCATTTTTTAATTTTTGCAAAACCTTTACCTTTCTTCTATATATACAAGTCAAATGAATCACTGCCAATAAATTATCATTGATTCCTACTGTGTTTAGCTAGTGTACCGTGTATTACTGTATTGTACATAGTATATTGTACATAGTATTCCTACTGTGTTTAGCTAGTGTACCGTGTATTACTGTATTGTACATAGTATATTGTACATAGTATTCCTACTGTGTTTTAGCTAGTGCTTTAGCTGCTTTGTGACAAAGCAGCTACCCACCCACAGTTTTATTTACAAAATATACAGAAGACCCTGGTACAATAGTTGAACAATTTATATAAAATGTATATTTAATGAAGCCACTAGTACACAGAGCATTTCAGGTATTTGTCAACTCTACGCAAGTTAGTAGCTTTCAAGTACTTTCAAGACATCTTCCCTAATGTAACTGAGGGGAAAGAAAATGTTTGAGGGGGAAATAATAGCCCCTTTTTTTTTATACTTCTGAAGGCATAAACTAGGAAAGTTCGTAACAAGATGAAGCACGAGTGAGCAGTGTCGGAACCATCACATTGTTTTTTTGAATGAGATTCGAAGCCTTTATGTTCTAAATACTCTATTCTATTTGCATTTTCATGACTAGAAATCAACCTATCCTCAGGGGAATATTTGTTCTTTCTTGGTAATCACTACAAAATCAAAACATAATTTGTGCTCTTATCTATTCCCTATCCATGATTAAGGTAAGGTAAGGGTTGCATTAGGTTAAAACAGTATTATTCTCAAACACTTGCAATACAAAAATATTTGAGCATCCCCCTAGCATTTCATATTAAAGAAAACCTAGGTCTTTGAGTATATCAAACAATTTTTACCACAGACTTCTTATATTTTGAAACATCGGTTTATAATAAATGGTTATAACTTTAGAATATTCTCTGCTTAGGATAAAGACTCGCTTAGCAGTTTACAAGTTGACTATTATTGGAACTAATGTGCTTTAGATCATGCCCAAAATGCTATGCGTGTAAGTGGGTTTGCAAGAAGGTACAAATACCAATCTCATGTAATCTCACCAACCCATTGTACCTTCTTGCAAATAAATTATTATTATTATATCATCATTACTCTGACGACGGGGTTGCTAAAAATACCCGACCACAAGCATATTGGGACCAGTAAAAAATCACCAATGACGACCACACCACCACCCCATACAATTGTTCTGCCCATGTATAGTTTATCTTTGCTTTGCAAATTACTAAATGGAAAAGTATCAGAGTTTGGTTTATTTTTATTTTACAGCTATATAGACCGATCATGTGCTTCTAGACAGAAAATTGTCACCCGAGGACCACAAAGAACATTGGGTGAGGAGCCTATGCTACAGTTCCCAATTTCTGAATAGCTTTTAAATACATGGATAGTGAAATAGTTAAGAGTTAATAGATAATAGTACATGACCTTTATGAGATCAAAGTTGGAATATACAGTGGTTGTATGGAGCCAATTTCTTTAGAACCACATCAACAAACTGGAAAAGGAGCAAAGACATGCAACTAAATGGCTTCTAGAACTGAATGACAAGAGCTAAGAGGAGAGGTTAGAGGCATTAACCCTGTTATTACCACGCGTCTTCACAAGTGACCCTCCTGTGGTGTGCAAGAAAAAAAAAAAAAAATCCAAAACTTGTCTCCTTTCTAATGTTGTTGAAATGCATTCATTCCCTGATCATGGGAGAAAAAATAAATAAATAAATAAATTGTGACATACTTTGGCTAGCAATGGAGTTGAGAAATTTATGGGTGTGGAGCAAGTTGTCGCTCGGAGACATTAGCTGCACCAACCCCGTGTGGTACCAATTACCACAAAATTAATTTTGCATAATTATTTCATTGTCTCAATTTGTTTTTTTTTTTAGTTACACATTGCATATTCTTAGGACAATAAGAGAGACTCAGAGTTCAGTAGTCCTGCATTCGTTTACATGAAATTGTAACAGAACATATTCAATATCTTATTTTCTTCATTGTAAATTTTTTTTTTTACTTTTTTTTCAGGTGTAATGATGCATTGGGCTGTCAGTAATAATATTGTTCTAACTAAAGAACACTGAATCATTACATTTTTCCACACTCCATTTTATCTAATTTCATAATGAAGGTATTAAAGTTTTAAGTGAAAATGCCCAGCAGAAGGTCAAGACATTAAATTTTACATTCGGTAAATTTCTCTGACCTCAATGATGTAGGAAAAGTGGAGGTTAGGGAATTATCAGGAGAAAGTGTCAAGCCATTACAACTATATACAATCCCTTCCATTACTGTACTTGGAAGGGATAAGGATTTGGGATGGAACGGGAAGGAAGGAAGGAATGGTGCCCAATCATTTAGACAGTTGGAGATTAAACGCCGACCTGTATGAAGTGAGATCGCCACTCTACTGTCCAGCCCAAGTGGTTGAGCAAGGAGGGGAGGAGTGAGGGAGGCATGATTAAGTAATGATTTTAGAACAAAGCCATAAAAGTACAGTAAACAAAACAGTTTGCATACTTTAGTTGAATTAAAAAAAATAAAGGTTTATATATATACAGATGAATGCAACCTTTAAAAGTCATGCAGTATATCGACTGGGAAGCCCCCAAACTGCCTGAAACACTGTGCATATTAGTGGCTTTAGACATAGTATGTACTAGCTCTATCTAGAAATCCAACACTTTGTAACTCATCTTGTATGTATGTACTTTTACCTGAATAAACATTTATTTATTATATAGTGGTCAACAGATTAGCAAGCAAATAATTATTAGAAAGCTATACAACAATCCTTATGTAATACCTGGACTTTGAAGATCTTGACATTGGCAGCAAGGAGATCCTTGCGTTCCATGCCTTCCTTGCGGGGCATTGCTCCAACCAAGAATGCACAGTCGATGTCCTTGAATGCCACAGCTGGATCATCAGTGGCAACAACATCTGAAAAATATACAATTAACTAATGCATATAAATACATATTTTGACCATGGCTGAAAGATTGTTTAACTGTTTGGATTCAGATCTATGGGAGTAAAAAAAAAAATAAAATATATAAAAAAATATAAATAATGCCATTATTTCTTCATCTATTCCATCTTTGACAAAATTTCAATTTGCTTCTTCAATCGATTTAAGCATGACCTACGAAACCATAAGCCACAACTTGCTTACATTACAGTACTATAGAATTCGTGTACACACTAAACCATGCTTGGAGTGACTGTGTACATGCGGCTCAGGCTTGGGTACAAATATTACTGGGAATATGGGATAGGTGTTCATGATAATGACACGAAGTGTAAACTATGTGGTATGTTAAGGTCTCGCACCCTTGCCCATTATGTTCTTGATTGTCCCTTGATTAATGTATATAGAAACACTGAGATAAGGACTGTTCCTGAGCAAATAGCCTGGATGTGTCACAAAGGAAAGGTTGATGATATTCTTGAGAGATATAAGAATTTTGCACCAAGACTAATATTTTGTTGAATTATCTGCATGTCTCTTACAAATTGTCTATACAGTATAACTAGGTCATAAAAGTATTTGTGTGTACGTCTGATACCATACTACTTGTGAAGGAGGAAATGTACATGTTTATCTCTCAATGTTTGGTAACAGGTTTATTGTTTGTGATGTGTGTCTAAGTATGTACTAACACGTTGTACTGAACGGGGTGAGAATAGCTTGAGCTACCTCATCCCTTTGTGTGTATTTTACCTCAATAAACTTATTTCAATTTTAATTTCAATTTAATATATTACACATATATGATGTGCCAAATACTGTTAGCCTTCTTAAATCTATATCAATTGCAGATGACACTACCAGTAAAGAGGTGGGACCAAAGAGCCAAAGCTCAACCCCAGCACAACTAGGTGAGTACACTACAGTACCTTTACCTTCTCTAACCCCCAATCTATGTACTGTATCTTAAACGGTGTAGTGTAGTAAACGGTTAACAATTCCTCATCAACAGAACCCACTTTTAATTTTTGTCCTACATTTGTCACTTATATGCACTATTCAAGTCTAGCAGCTTTTTTTACCATCCATTGTACCACCTTTCATAATCATTTCCTGCTGATGACGTGCCTTTCAGTATCAAATGTGTTGCAGACCGTATTGGTCCAGATGCACTACACCAATCCCTTACACCGTTTGGCCACACTCCAGTAGCTCAAGTAAGACAGAAGCGGTCATGTCAAATTAAAATGTTAAAGAGCTAAATGTGTTAGCAATTGGGAGGAAAAAAATGAAGCTTGTCTGACTTGGAATACTTATACACACAAATATCATTCACACGCAAGTTTTTATGTCAGTTTCGATAACTGCACTGAGGATTTTCTCATAAATTAGAAGCTAGATGTGAAACAACTGGAGTCAAATATATCAAAAGAACTAAAGTTGGCTGAAAAAACTAAATTGGCAACCCTGCTGAGAAGTACACACACACTACTAGACAAGTCCCTGAAACTGCCCGAAATGCCCGAAACGCTGCGCGTACTAGTGGCTTTACAAGAATATAAATACTGTACTATCCAATGTATTCTCACAAACCCAATGTACCTTCTTGTATATATATAAATAAAATAAATATATATAAATAAATAAAAGTAAGTGCGAACTTGCCTGGATGTATGGTGCCAGAAGTTTACTTCAGTCATACTTTATCAGTTTTTCTTACTCCTATTCCAAAAGCCATCCCAAAATTAAACTTATACCAAAGAATGCATATAACCAACATTTTCCCCCAAAAAATTATAACACTTTTTTACATATTCAAGGTTAAAATGTTTTGTAGGCAAAGTGAACAGAGATAAACCTAAAGTTCAACCTGTCACACTGGCATCTACCAGCAGAAGCTGGCTGTAGAGGTTTCACCACCACCAATTTCCCCCACACCCGAGCATCTCAGCATGTGCAACTTGTGAATATTTACCTCGTCTTAAGGGCCCAAGGGATAGTTTTATAAAAGTTGTTCAATTTCAACCAATATTTTTTGACTAGCTGTATATGAAAAGGGCTGCAATTGTTCCAAGTTTCAATACTGCAACCTAAATAGAAAGGGAGATTTAATTTTTGTTTTTTTCAACAAATATTACACATTTCAATGCGACTTGAAACAACCACACCTTTCAGATATAATCATTCTATGACACTTTTCTAACACATTAGCATATAATAAAGGATCTGTGGCCAGGGATTTTCCAAAACATCTTTAATTTTCCTAATACAAATAGTCAAAGTTCCCCCTCCCCTCCAAGTTATGCAAATATATCATGTTTATTGCTATTATAAAGTCAATAAATGAACTTAGGGGAAACAAAACAGCCACAGATTTTAGAGAAACTTTACATATAAGGTGTAAGTTTCATGTAAAGTGAATAAAAATGAAAGTTTCAAGTCGTTTATGTTACTTGAAAAATAAATCATTAAAATATTAAAATCCAAGGTGCTGCCATCTGTGGCGAGGTTGACATCAACCAATTTCCTCCAACATTGGCACCCTTATAGATAGGCTTACGTGCTGTCGAGTGTACAAGTTTCATGCAAATTGTCCGATAAACAAATAAAAAAACAAATTATTTTTTAACTAAATTTTTTTAAATAAAACTAATTATAAAATGTTTTAAATATATGCTATTGTGATAGCGGAGAGTCATAGACATGATTTCAATTAACACTTGTTTGATAATCGTTTTTGACCATTTTGGAAATTTTTTGACAATTCAATATTTTTTTCTCCCTTCCTATTTATGCTACAATGCCGAGACTTGGACCAGATGAAACCCTTTTCATATACAACTCGTCAAAAAAGTTTGATTGAAATTGAACGAGTTTTTATTTATTGAATACTTTTGGCATATTTGGAACCGATGCCCCCATTAATTAAGAGTGGTTTGACAATAGCAGCATTTCTCAGCTTTTGTACCCTTGAAATAATTCTGGGTCATACTTTATCTAAACATACATGGATTTCATTATCAACTAAAGTGTCTTTGCTCTTTATACTGGTTAAATAAGAAAAATAAACCGATTCAAATGCATTTGCATATGATTAGAAATACAGTAGCCTATACAGTATATCACACACTTGCAGACCCCCTAGTTGCTTTGGGGTCCTGCAGAACCCCGTTTGAAAAATGCTGATCTATAGCTTCCTTTCTAGGGCAATGGGTCACCACTTCCCTCATAATAGTGCATCAGTAACTTTGTAACAGTGCAAGTATTTTGCACTCTTTCATGTATAATTGTGAAGTATAATTGTGAGATGTACTTGTGTGTGTGTGTGTGTGTGTAATTACCTAAGTGTAATTACCTAAGTGTAGTTACAGGATGAGAGCTACGCTCGTGGTGTCCCGTCTTCCCAGCACTCTTTGTCATATAACGCTTTGAAACTACTGACGGTCTTGGCCTCCACCACCTTCTCACTTAACTTGTTCCAACCGTCTACCACTCTATTTGCGAAGGTGAATTTTCTTATATTTCTTCGGCATCTGTGTTTAGCTAGTTTAAATCTATGACCTCTTGTTCTTGAAATTCCAGGTCTCAGGAAGTCTTCCCTGTCGATTTTATCAATTCCTGTTACTATTTTGTATGTAGTGATCATATCACCTCTTTTTCTTCTGTCTTCTAGTTTTGGCATATTTAATGCTTCTAACCTCTCCTCGTAGCTCTTGCCCTTCAGTTCTGGGAGCCACTTAGTAGCATGTCTTTGCACCTTTTCCAGTTTTTTGATGTGCTTCTTAAGATATGGGCACCACACAACAGCTGCATATTCTAGCTTTGGCCTAACAAAAGTCATGAACAATTTCTTTAGTATATCGCCATCCATGTATTTAAATGCAATTCTGAAGTTAGAAAGCATAGCATAGGCTCCTTGCACAATATTCTTTATGTGGTCCTCAGGTGATAGTTTTCTATCTAGAACCACTCCTAGATCTCTTTCTTTATCAGAATTCTTTAAAGATTTCTCACATAATATATAGGTTGTGTGGGGTCTATGTTCTCCTATTCCACATTCCATAACATGACATTTATTAACATTAAATTCCATTTGCCAAGTGGTGCTCCATATACTTATTTTGTCCAGGTCTTCTTGAAGGGCATGACAGTCATCTAAATTTCTTATCCTTCCTATTATCTTAGCATCATCAGCAAACATGTTCATATAATTCTGTATACCAACTGGTAGATCATTTATGTACACAATAAACATCACTGGTGCAAGAACTGAACCCTGTGGTACTCCACTTGTGACATTTCTCCATTCTGATACATTGCCTCTGATTACTGCCCTCATTTTTCTATCAGTCAGAAAATTTTTCATCCATGATAGAAGCTTACCTGTCACCCCTCCAATATTTTCCAGTTTCCAGAACAACCTCTTATGTGGAACTCTGTCGAAAGCCTTTTTTAGGTCCAGATAGATGCAGTCAACCCAACCATCTCTTTCCTGTAATATCTCTGTGGCTCGATCATAGAAACTGAGTAAATTCGATACACAGGATCTTCCAGATCGAAAACCATACTGTCTGTCTGATATTATATCATTTCTCTCTAGGTGTTCTACCCATTTAGTTTTGATTAGTTTTTCCAATACTTTCACTATTACACTTGTCAATGATACAGGTCTATAATTGAGGGGGTCTTCCCTGCTGCCACTTTTGTAGATTGGAACTATGTTAGCCTGTTTCCACCCGTCTGCTACGATTCCTGTACACAGGGATGCCTGAAAGATCAGGTGAAGTGGAATGCTGAGCTCAGATGCACATTCTCTCAGAACCCATGGTGAAACGCCATCTGGGCCAGCTGCTTTGTTCTTACCAAGCTCCTTGAGCATTTTTTCCACTTCGTCTCTAGACACCTTTATGTGTTCTATGTTGTTCTCTGGAATTCTTATTGTATCTGGTTCCCTAAAGATTTCATTTTGAAC